TAAAAAAAAAAAAGGCATCCATAAAAAAAAAAAAATGATAATAAAATAATTTTATATGTTAAACAAAAATGAAAAAAAAAAAAACAACTTATAATTATAATTCAATTTATTACGTGAAATAATTACCTGCCTTTGCTAAATAGTTCCAAGTTTTACCATAGTCAAAAGAAGTGGAAAAAAACAACTGTTTAGCAGAAAGTTCTATGCGTCTTTATGGGTTATCAAAACTTCTCCTTTTTAGAAATCGTACATCAACGGTATTATCGTGTACAGAAGTAGAAGACATGAGTTGTGTACAAAATAGTAAAAACTACCCAATATGCAGTTGATTGAAAAAAAAATTTTTTTTATACAATTTCAAACTATTATAACTTTTCAGATAATTGCAAATTTCCACTTAGAAGTAGACCTACGTTAGCACATTTTAAATAAAACAAACGCAAAACAAAATATTTTGCAAAGACTAATATTATATTATATAATTATGCAATTTATAATTAAAATTGCTTACGTCACTTACGTTTGATACTTGGCAAGAACTATTTTTAGAATTGTATTTCTTGATCTTGATGTTAAGGAATTTAAAAAATGTGTTAAAATATTAAAGTTAAAGTCTTAAAATTTGGAAATTTGCAAAAAAATAAACGTCACGTATAAAAAAAAAAAAAAACCCGATAAGTGCGAACAACTGGATGTAAGCCTTTGGCTTATAACCAGAAGCGGCCAGTATTTATACATATAATCGAACACTGTAACTGTAAGCCTTTAACAAGATAAGCCTTAAATATACGGATAATCAAATATATCGAGCGTATAGATTCCACTAATTGTAGGCCTATTTGGATATAGGCACTAGTTACAATTCTTTTTAACACTGTTTAAAAATGAGAATTGAGTCATTTTTAATGTTTAAAATATATAATTTAATATATAATCGTTCTATTGTTTTTACTCATTTTTGCTCGGGGTGGGGGGGGCGGAGGGGGGCACTTGACTCCTCCGGAGAGCTGCCTGAAAGAAACCCTGCACGCACCCATCCTTGACATGGAAAGAGTTCACACTCGGTCACCAACTTAACTGTTAAGATCACCATACAGTGCCATACACACTGAACCTCTGATTCCATGACCTTGACAGCTACAACTCACTACCAGTGGCAGTGGATTAGCTGTAGATCTCCATGTTATGTCAACATATTGTGAAGTAAGCATAATTATTATTTAACAAGCGACATTTAAAAAAAAAATCTGAACAAATTAATTGTATCGATCTGCATCAACGTGTGTATAGCTGTTTCAAAATATATCTATCTTTTCAGCAATGTTCAACAACAGACGAGGCTCAACTGAATCAGCGTAAGACAGCATACTAGGAGTAACAACCGGTGAGGCTATACTGAAGCTGAGTGAAACAGCATACCAGAAGTGGTACAACAATAACAGGGATGACAGCCCCATTAGTCATTCTGGCTCTGCTAGTCTCATGGAGGTTGAAGCTACAAAATTTATTAAGCTTCGTTCATTTTGAAGCAGGGTCTGAGGTACCAGTACACAAAATTTGTGTCTGATGGCGACTACAAGTACAAGACATAATAGTATTCCTATCCAGAAAGAAGAATGCACAAGCCATGTACGGAAGAGGCTTTGTACAGCTCTTAGAAACTTTTGGCAACATAATCTAAGAGCAGCATAACACTAGGCGGGCGTAAGACTAAAGAGGTGAAGAGATTTTCCAAATATTTTTATATTTATATTGCTAATCATTACTGTGAAAATACAAATGCCATTGATATTATAATCACTACAGTTGCAAATTTTTAAAAATCTGCATTTATTTTAAAAACTATGTTCTCTTTTCTCAAATGTTTTTGATGATCCACTGGTATGTATTTATATAATTATATATCCATTTCTTTCACAGGTGTATTGCAACCTTCACAGCGGCATTATATGAAGGCTGTGGCCAGTAAAAACTCCAGCACAGAAGGGCTTCAACAGATGATTCTAATGACATTTCAACATGCTTCATCATGACTGCCCACTGGACACAAAAGCAGTCCCCACAAAAACATGTCAAGGCAAAAGTAGCAGTGTCATTTCAGAAACTGTTGCAGAGAAAGTGAAGCCCATATACGATAGGCTCATTTCAGATGTGCTTCTGGCAAGATGCTTGTCCGTGATGACACATGCTAAAATATGGGCAAGGTGTCCTAAGCACATTTTTGTAGGGAGAAGGCGGGTGGAAGTGGAGACAGCCTTGTTTGTTTCAGAATTTAATTCTGGCAGTGTTGGACTGAAAGTGAAAGGTTTTTTTAAATATTGAGTTTTCTGTGAGGAGTATGGCCTTATACAGAAGGGTTACAAAAATTATTTAAAAAAAACAAAAAACAAAGAGAGAAACCTTAGAAGAGGAGAAGAAAAGAGATAACAGCAGTCAACATTATTGCTCAGCAGAAATATATTAGATTCAAGGGAGGTATAAGTTATGACGCTGGGAATTTTTATCTTGGTGGGGGGTGGGGGGGAGGGTGTGAACAAAAAGGATTAATTTTTACATAATTTGATTTTTTAAATTTTATTTTTATTGAATCCCATTGGCCAGAGGCACGGGTGTCACAAAAATACACCTTTATGCAAAATTTAATTTTGAAAAAATTAATTATTTTAATACCCATGAAAAACATAGATCTAATCTCAGTTGTGTCAATTTTACGAGTGTGTGGAAGCAGTGTATCAGAAACCACCTATCATCAGATTAGAATGAAATTTGCATCATGCTTATCTATAATGTCACAGCGGATTTTTATTCTATTTTTAGAGAGGAAAATTATTTTAATTTCAGACAAAATAATTTATTTACACAACTTTTTTAAAATTCGCAAAACATTTTTTTTTTTTATAGTATATGTCAATTTCTTTCTGATACGGTATATTTTACAATTTTCTATGCAAGATTGTTTCCAAGTTTTATAAAAGTGCAGTACCTGTATTTAAAATTGCTAAATTTTATATTTAAAATTGCTCAATTTTACCCTTATTTTCCAATCAAAATTAAAATCATTAAAAAAAATGTGTTAGTCTCATTTGTTTTTTACTACATTTTTATTGCTTTTCCTGTCTTATGAGCGCAACAAAATTCTGCCAGTGACAGATTTTAAATTTTAATATTTTTGACTACCAGTGGCAGTGTACCAGCCCCCTTTAACTTTAAGCTTAAAATAAAATTATGGTTAGTAAAAATAAAAAGTTTTTCTGTGAATTTTTCCCCCGTGAATTATTTTTCTACAATCAAACACGTATGACAATGTTTAATGCTTCAGAGTACTTACTATTATAATTATTAATAAAGGTTAGCTATGCCTAAAAATTATAATTATGGCCATCGACAAGACTGTTCAACTAAAACTGGCTAGTAATGTATGAATTAGTCAATTTATTTAGATATACTATTACTATGCCGCCTTATGCACAACAAAAAGTGTGTGTTGGGGGGGGGGTGGTAAGGTAAGGTCACAAAAGAGAGGTTTTAAAATGAATTATCACATTACGACACTGAACTAATCTCTCACACCTGTCCATTACCTACTAATCCGATTTAAACTTTTAACAAATGTGATCTTTTTAAATTATTTATTTTTCATTTTTAAATCTTGATTTTTTATGAACCCTTGAAATCTAAGTATATCTAGTGACATTTTTAAGAATGTTTCTACTTCCGCATTTTTCAAGGGAAGTAAGAAGAAGAATGATTGTTTTAATGACCGCTACAAGGGAAAGAATAATCTCTTTTTAATTCAAATTAATAAATGTAATATAATTTTTTAAATTCAAGTATTATAATTTAAAATTGTTTAAAACAATAGATAATTTATTTATGTTGCTTAAAATTTATCAATTATTAAAATTGTTTATTTCAAAATTATAAAATAAAATAATATGTTTAATATAAAAACAGTGGATAAGTTACAATATACTGTATAAGGCATGAGATTAGTCATCAAGAATTAATATACTTACCTGGCACAGGAGGCACCCTGATCACGAAGGGGGTCCTCCCAGGGCGAGGCCTGTCCATTGCACTTCGGATGGGTTGACCCCTGCGATCACCCCAAATGTGGGTGACTCGGGTGCGTAATTTTTTCGTAGGGGGGACTGCGTTCGCGCTATCCCCTGAATAATCCAAGTAAAATGATAGGTACCATTAGTTACATGTTGACGTTTTTTTTGATATTTTCTAATTTTATATTATCATAGTTTTCAGTGCCACCACAATAGTTAGCAATGGTTCCCTTAATCTCAGTGCCACCACAATAGTTAGCAATGGTTCCCTTAATCTCAGTGCCACCACAATAGTTAGCAATGGTTCCCTTAATCTCAGTGCCACCACAATAGTTAGCAATGGTTCCCTTAATCTCAGTGCCACCACAATAGTTAGCAATGGTTCCCTTAATCTCAGTGCCACCACAATAGTTAGCAATGGTTCCCTTAATCTCAGTGCCACCACAATAGTTAGCAATGGTTCCCTTAATCTCAGTGCCACCACAATAGTTAGCAATGGTTCCCTTAATCTCAGTGCCACCACAATAGTTAGCAATGGTTCCCTTAATCTCAGTGCCACCACAATAGTTAGCAATGGTTCCCTTAATCTCAGTGCCACCACAATAGTTAGCAATGGTTCCCTTAATCTCAGTGCCACCACAATAGTTAGCAATGGTTCCCTTAATCTCAGTGCCACCACAATAGTTAGCAATGGTTCCCTTAATCTCAGTGCCACCACAATAGTTAGCAATGGTTCCCTTAATCTCAGTGCCACCACAATAGTTAGCAATGGTTCCCTTAATCTCAGTGCCACCACAATAGTTAGCAATGGTTCCCTTAATCTCAGTGCCACCACAATAGTTAGCAATGGTTCCCTTAATCTCAGTGCCACCACAATAGTTAGCAATGGTTCCCTTAATCTCAGTGCCACCACAATAGTTAGCAATGGTTCCCTTAATCTCAGTGCCACCACAATAGTTAGCAATGGTTCCCTTAATCTCAGTGCCACCACAATAGTTAGCAATGGTTCCCTTAATCTCAGTGCCACCACAATAGTTAGCAATGGTTCCCTTAATCTCAGTGCCACCACAATAGTTAGCAATGGTTCCCTTAATCTCAGTGCCACCACAATAGTTAGCAATGGTTCCCTTAATCTCAGTGCCACCACAATAGTTAGCAATGGTTCCCTTAATCTCAGTGCCACCACAATAGTTAGCAATGGTTCCCTTAATCTCAGTGCCACCACAATAGTTAGCAATGGTTCCCTTAATCTCAGTGCCACCACAATAGTTAGCAATNGAGGGGGCGACAGCTGGCAAATCTGTTGGTAATATCCATATCAAGTTGTGAAAGGGATGAAATATTTTACTATATTTCCATGTGGGGGGAAAAAAAGGGGGTACAATTGAAAATAATGCTTGAACTGGAAAAGGGTAGTGTGCCCAATAATTTGGGAAACACTGGTTTGCAGAATAAAAAAACCCAGTCATTTATTTAAACAGTCAATGAAATGAAGAAGAGATAATCAAATTTTTTATTTATATAGAACAATTCAAGTACAGGTTTATGAGTGACAGGACACAAGTTGATGCAAGATGTTGATGGATTGTTGAATTATGAACAAAAAAATATTGATGGATTGTTGAGTTATGAAGAAAATATTGACGGATTGTTGAGTTATGAAATATTCACTGATTGTTGCATTATGAACAAAATATTGATGGACTGTTGAAGTTGTACCATAACTTTATTACGGTACACAATCCCAGTTCTTATAATAATATAAAACCATAACAAAAAGCATTGTAAAACATGGCATAGACTAGATGACACAAAGACAGGAGGTCATTGAGACATAGTTTCTTAGTATTATTTGGTGTCATACAAACCAGAAAAAACTTAAATTACACCTACCGAAATCAAAATGTCCCTCTCACATGAATAACATAACCCCTTCTAACCATCAACTTTTCTCTGTCACACGCCATCCATACCCCCTACCAACCATCCACTTGTCCATGTCACATGCCACAAATACCACCTACCAACTATCAACTTGTCTCTGTCACATGCCACCTATAACCCTTACCAACAATCAACTTGTCTCTGTCACATGCCATTCATACCCCCTACTACCCATCAACATGTCCCTGTCACATGCCACCTATACAACTACCAACCATCAACATGTCCCTGTCACATGCCAACCATACGCCCTACCAACCATCAACATGTCCCGTTCACATGCCACATATACACCCTACCAACCATTAACATTAACCTGCCCCATGCCACCCATACCCCCTACCAACCATCAT